GCCATCCAATCCGGTTAAAATAGGGATATGCGGCGTCATATTGCCTAGGAAAAAAACTAACGACTATCCCAATTTTCCCTCGACGAGACACACATCGCACATCCTTTCCTTAGCAGTAACAGCTATCTAATTTTTCTATTTCTAAAAGCATGTACGATTGGCTTTTTAGCAAGTTCTGGCTCCTGGAAAGCGAGCGCAACGACGACCGGGTCAACGCCTACCGTCGGCAAGTGTGGCCCGAGGTAAAGGGCAAGGTGCTGGACCTGGGTCCCGGCTACGCGCAATCGCTCGAGCTGCTGACCATGTCGGAAATCAGCTCGTACGTTGCGCTGGAGCCCAACCCGTTCATGTACGAAAAGCTGCAGGCAAACGCCGAGAAATGCGGGTTCAGCGTCGAGTATGACAAGCTGTCGTACCCAGAGGGCAAGTCCGAGTCGGCCGACCAGAGCGGCGTGCCATTCAAAATCGTCCGTGGCGTGCTGGACGACCGCAAGACAATTCCTCAGGCGGTTCTGGACAACGCCCCCTACGACACCGTGCTGACATCGTTCTCGCTGTGCAGCGCGAAAAACATCAATGCCACGCTCGACAACATTGTCCGCCTGCTCAAGCCCGGCGGCGCCCACGTCTTCATCGAGCATGTGCGCCATCCGCCGCGCGACGACCCGCACGTCGTCGAGGACAACGGCATCAACGCGCGCTTCTGGGGCATCGTCCAGGACATCATCAATCCCGTCTGGAGCGTCTGCGGCAAAGGCTGCCACTGCAACCTCGAGACCGGCAAGATCATCGCCGCGACCGAAGGCTGGGAATCCGTCAACTACAAGAGCGTCCGCCCCGCCGAGGCCCTGCCGTCGCGGATCATGCCGCTGACGTTTGGCAAGGCAATCAAAAGCGCCTAGTTTTATTTAATTTTTATTTCCAGAATTTATCTGGTTGATTGGCACGGCGCTAAAGCATGTAAATTCGGTGGTTTGTAAAAGTAGCGTCACAGTTCATTGGCCTAAACATGACTAGTCGTTTAAGAACTAAAAAATTTTAATGTTTCTACTGGACGTGTCGCTTTGGCGTTTTTTTGTTTCAGAATTCTCGCGCCGCTTTGGCGCAATGGTAGCGCGTGACCCTCCTAAGGTCAAGGTTGCGGGTTCAAGTCCCGTGAGTGGCTTTTTTTACTTTTGGAATTGAGTGCTGTTTTTTATTGCTGTTACGGACTAGACAGTTCTGATCAGGACCAACGCTCCTTTCGACTAAAAGCTTGTTCTTTGATTCTATCAATTGACAGCTGTGCGGCGGGACTCCCATAATCGGGGGCGCACGTGCACTGGCGCTCTTTAGCGCGCAGATATGCACCTACCCGAAATAAAATCCGCATTTCTCTCTCTATCTCTTTTTCATCGTAATAATAATTGGTATGCGCAAAACGGGGGCGAGCGTGCGAAAGCCGTTGAAGAAGGCGAATGCATTTGGAAGCAGTGAGGCTGGTGCAGAGAAGCCCGCGGAGCTGGCGGTAGTGGCGGCGCAGGGCGACACGATAGTGGGAGAGGGCGAGCGGTCCGCAGACTCGCCGCTGGTGATTCCGTCGAAGCAGAACAGCGACCGGCTGCAGGCGATCCGCGAGCTGACCGGGCGGCAGGCGGACAGGCGGGAGATCCGGCCGGCGAGCAAGGTGGACGAGAGCGAGCTCTCGGACGTGGACGAAGAGGCGTACGAGCGCGTGCCGATTGAGGAGTTTGGGGCGGCGATGCTGCGCGGCATGGGGTGGAGCGGCGGCGATGCGGGCAAGGCGGAGAGCGAGGAGGACAGCAGGCCGCGGCCGAGTCTGCTGGGGCTGGGCGCGGCGCCGCGCTAGCGGGTGTCGGCGTAGCGCAGCAGCTTGGTGGTCAGGTGGATCAGGGCGATCAGGGACTCGTTTACTTTGGCGTGGAGCACCAGCGAGCCGCGGATTTTGTAGTCGCGCGACATGCCAATGTACTGGGCGACGAGGCGGCCCTCGGAGTCTTCGAGCTTCCAGCAGTTCTGCATCATGCCGGCCATCCAGTCGTAGCGGTGGCCGTCAAAGTCGATGAAGGCCCAGGTGGACTTGGCAGAGTCGAGGCCGCCGTTGGTGAGCCTGCCCTGGTACGAGAACTGGGCGAGGTCTTTGCGCGCGCCCTCGATTATCGACGACATGATTGGGGCGCCCGAGCGGCCCTGGCAGATGGAAGCTTCGCGATCGACGACGTGGATGGTCCAGATGGGCGTGAGATCGGCGGCTTGCGAGCTGGTTTCGATGAGGCCGGGGTAGATGAATGTCTTTTTGTTGAAGAGATAGGCTTCTCTAACGTAGGTGAACGAAATGGTCATGTTAGTGTATGGGTAGGCTATATGATCCTAAACGATGATAGAGAGAAGAGAAGGAAAGTGTGATACTAGAGAGGTCAAATAGGAGGGCCCATCATAAAGAGAATTCGTTTTCCGCATGGGGTTTAAGAAAGAAAAATTAGCGCAATAAACTAACAAGAGTGAAAAAGAGATCCGCTTATTTGTAGATCTGCATGCTAATAAATGGTTCTTTATCGTCCGGGTGTATGAATCCGGTTAAAAGCACGTTTTATCAGGAGCGCTTTGTCCGTTTTGACGAGCGCGTACGTGGAGGAGATGCCGGATTAGGCCGTGGGCGGGGTTTGGAGCTGCTGCTGGGTTTCTTGATACTGCTGCTGGTGACAGCTGCAGCCCGCGTGCGTTTCTTGGGCTCGGGGTTTGCGGGCTTCTCGGGCTCCTTGCGCTTGCGCGTGCTGGACCTACGTAGCGCGTGGCCGCCCACCACGGTCGCTGCATCGGCGATATCGGGCAAGTCCAGGGCGCTGAGCTCGCGGGGCTTGTGCGCGGCGGGCTGCTTGGCCTGCGCCTGGGCGCGGCGCCGGGTGCGGGGCGGCGAGCGCGGGTCATGCACTATAATTTGCCCCAACGCAGTAGACTGCTGCTCTTGCGTCGCTGTATCGGCATCGCGATAATCCTGCGGCACGGAATCTGGCGATTGCGGTGCGGCATGCAGCTCGACCAGCTGCGACGGCTCGGCCAGCTGCGATGGCTCGGCCAGCTGCGACGGCTCGGACTCGGGAGACGAGTGCCCAGTGTCCACGAGCTCCCAGCCCGCGTCAATGGGTGTGCGCGGTGGCGGATACGCGTGCGGCTGCGCGGCCTCGTCCAGCAGCCTGCGCTGCGTGGGCAGCGTGCGCGCGTCGTGTGCGGCGGGCTCTGGAGTCTGCGGCGGTTTGGCGTTCCAGGAGGCAGGCGGATACATGGCAAGTGGGGTGGAGAGCAGAGGCGAAGAGCAGGGGGGCTCGGCGGCGGCGGGCAATGAAGGGGTGTCGGACATGTGACCTGCAGGCGGTGACTGCGGCGGCGACGACAGCTGCGCGCCGGCCGTCCAGCCGCGCCACGACGAGCGCCGGCGGTTGAGCGCGGCCAGGGTCTGGCGCCGCCGCCGCCGCTCGTGCTGCCGCCGCAGCCGCTCGCGGTGGGCCGTGACGTCATCGGCTTCGTCGTCGCCCGCGGCTTCTGGCGGCTGCTCGGCAGCAAGCAGGTGCTCGAGGCCCGTGGTGCGGCGGCGCTGCTGGCGCAGCTGGGCGTCGCTCCGCGCGCCGCCCGAGCTTGCGCGGCGCGGCGCGTCGGCCACCAGGCTGTAGCGCGCCTGCAGCGCAGCCTGCTCGCTCAGCAGCTGGTCCGACTCGGTGGGCGCGTGGGGCGGATTTTCGGCGGGCTGCGGGTTCTCCAGCAGCTGCATGGCCTCGGCCAGCCCCAGCGGCTGCTCGGTGGTCAGCGGGCGCGGGGACAGCGGCTCAGGCTCGCCGTCGCTCTCGCTTTGGGGACTGTTCTCACTCGGGGCAGGTATAGGCTCTTGTGCAGGGCCTTGCTCCGGCCCCTGCGCAGGTTTAGGCTCGGGCTTCTTGAACATCACCGGGATGTCCTCGCCCAGCGCCGCGGCCATCTCGGCAATCGACGCGCTGATGGCCGCCTGCTCGCCGGGCACGGAGCGCCGCCGCTGGGCGCGGCAGTCCGGGGTCGGCGACGTGGCCACGGGCGGCGGCAGGGTCACGCGGCGCGCACGGGCCTGCAGGCTGCGGCGGCGGCGCGCACGGCGGTCCTCGGGGCTGCCGAGGGCCAGCGGCGACTCGATTTCGCGGATGGGTTCAGCCAAGGCATCGTCGTCGCTTCCAGAACTGCTGCTGTGGATATTCGGGTCCTTTTCTGTGGGCTGGGGCGCGTTGGCAAGCGGCAGCGGCAGCGGCGAGGCCGCGTCAATCTGGCGCAGAATGCTGGAGGCGCGGGCCAGCTGCATGGGCGTGCCGCGGCGCAGCGGCGTGGACGGCGGCGCCTGCGTGTCGAACAGCTCGGGGCTGAGCGGCGGCCCAAAGCGCACGGACTTGCGCGCGGCCGACGAGGCCTCAGACTGCAGCAGGCGGCGCATGCTGGGCGTGCTGTGCACGCGGGCCGGCGGCTTTGGCGTTGCTTTGGGCGGCGGTGGCAGCCCGGCGTCGCTGTCGGATTCGGGCTCGGGCTCGGTGGGCACCTCGTCGCTGTCGGGCTCGTGGGCGATTGCCAGCTGCGTCATCGGCACGTGCAGCAGCTGCGGCCCGCCGGTCGAGAGCGTGCGTCTGAGCGGCGAGCCGCTGGGCAGCAGCGCGGCAGGGTCCGGCTCGGCAGGGTCCGGCTCGGCTCCGGAGCTGTGGTTGAACTGGCGCACGCTGGCGGCCATGCGCTGGAACGCGTTGCTGCTGTCGCCGGTAGCAAACGGGTCGTCGTCGTCGTCGTAGTGCTGGTTCCAGCGCTGGAACTTGCGGGCCACGGCGGGGTCGCGTGGCTGTCGTCGCGCCGACAGCAGGGCGGCCGCGGGGGCGCGTGCGATTGGCGGGCGGCGGATGATCTCGGACTGCGTCTGGCGGTGCAGGCTGGCCAGGCGCTGTTGCTGCTGCGGCGGCGTCTGCGCATTGGCGCTGGGGCGTGGCTGCTCGTAGCGCAGCGAGCGGCCGACAATAGTGATCACGTCGCCCGGGTGGAGCTGGCGCTGCTGGCCGACAGGCAGCTCGGTGTTGTTGACTGCGGTGCCGTTGTCGCCCAGGCTTTTGAGCAGCAGGCGGCTGCCGACAGCGCGGATCACGCAGTGCTCCTTGGACACCTGGGGCCGCTGCATGCGGATATCGCACGTCTCCTTCCTGCCAATGAGCACCTGGCTGTGGTGCATTGGAAACGCCTTGCCGTCGGCCCCCGACCGCGAGATAATCACCAGGCGCCCGTACTTTGGCTCGAGCATGAAGACCAAAAAAAGTTCTCTTTGAAAACAAAATAGAAGCAATAAGAAAGCGACTTTTTGCAGCCCCGCTGTCCGCCACAAGCTCTTAATGTAAACAGCTCGATACCCTCTCCTCCAGTGCGACTCGGCTCGGCTACTTTGCTCATTTAGGAGAGCCGGGCAGCCCCCTTTGCGGAGATTTCTTTTTTTGTTCTGTCAGGCTTAAAGTCTCGCTTTCTTTCTTCTCTAATCTGTAGACCACTTGGACAATGCGCAAGATTTGGAACAAGAAGAAGGTGGAGGCCGAGGTGGAGAAGGCGCAGCCCAAGAACTCGCCGGCGCGAATCCGGCTGCAAAAGGAGCTCAACGAGCTGGAGCCGCTGAGCGACACGCAGCTGGAAACGTCGGCCGACAACCTGATGGACTTTACAATGGTGTACCGGCCCAGCGAGGGCTACTACCAAAAGGGCGAGTTCCGGTTCTCGTTCCACGTGCCGGCAAACTACCCGCACGAGGCGCCCAAGGTGCGCTGTCTGCAGCGGATCTTCCACCCGAACATCGACCCCGAGGGCCACATCTGCCTGAACATTCTGCGCGAGGACTGGAAGCCGGTGCTGAACATCCAGGCGGTGATCTTTGGCCTGCGCATGCTGTTCCAGACGCCAAATCCGGACGACCCGCTGAACAAGGACGCCGCGCGGCTGCTCGTGGACAACGAGCCCGAGTTTGCGCGCACCGTGCTGTCGGCCATGCGCGGACGCATGATTGGCACGGTCGACTACGACGAGGTGCTGGTGCATCCGGCGGGCCGCAGCCACTACTACTGAGCCTCGATTAGCCTGATTTGGCGCGATCTGATCACGCAGTCTAAATGTAAACAAGAAAAACGAAAA